TTTGAAGGCAATTGCCCTTTCAGCCACTGCCTGGATGTTTTATCCTTTGCAAGCTGAGTTTCTTAAAGAATAAATAATTGAAATGTTGCCAGCCTGGAAACTCCTGTCTCCTACAGGTGTCAGTTGAAATTCCAGTTCTCCATCAAAAGTTAGGGATTTCCAGACTATTTTCCAGTGTCTATGGCCCCAAAGTAAATAGCATCTATTATTTTAGTGCTTCAGAGTGCTCCACACCATCAGAGAGCAAACAAACCATATGGAGCTGGCTGAGTGGTACACAGCCTTTACTCTGTCTGAGCTTTCTAGAAATGATGGGCTGAAAAAATCAAGCACAGATCAGCACTGTGGGGCTGACTGACTGGCTGGGGCTAGGGACAGCTCAGGGCAAGTTATCCCTAAATCTTGTCACTCTTCACAAGGATCAAAATACACACCACAGCCCTCTCCACTCATGCCACCTCTCACTCATGGCATTTTTCTCATTCATGCTGACATCTACTAAAGAATTTGGAAAATATTTTTCGTTTACTGTTTTTAAGTGTGGAAGGGTTAAGTGAATTTTGGCATGTGATTATGGGTAGTTTCGGTAAGAGTTACCAGGAGTTTCCAATCCAGTCAGGTGTAGTGAGAAGGAAGGCCTCTGAAAGCAGTTCAGCAACATGCCAGAGACTACCAAGATGTTATTAAGAGCATGTGTATTTAACACAGTTTGAAATTCATAAACAGTGATACTGACAGCTCAGCTCTGCTGCTTCATGGCATTCCATTCATAACAGGGGATTTTTTACCATTTGTACTGTCATCAGAGTTGTTTGGGACATTTTGGGTGAAACATTTGATTTGACAAATCCATTCCTCTTCATAATATGTGGTTGTAGATCACAGAACAGTTAGTGTTGGAAGGGATCTTCAAAGCTCCTGTTGTTTCAGCCCCCTTCCATGGGCAGGGATGTTGCACTAGACCAGATTGCTCAAAGCCTGTCCAGCCTGGCCTTGCACACTTCCAATGATGGGGCATCCACAATTTCTCTGGGCAACTTGTGCCTCATTTAATCTGGCAGGATGTTTCTCAGGTCAATGCTAGAAGCAAAGCCCAAAGCAAAGCCCCAACAAGCAGGAAATGGAGGACATCTCTCTTGGTTTGGGTTAGAGAACCAAGCCCTTTAGTTCTAGCTTGCAGACAAAGTGCCTGACAACTGAGCCTCCATTTATTCTACTCTGTGTTTGGCTCTGGCTTTCTGTCAGGCTCTCTGTCTTTTCTTTCTTCATTTATTTCTTTCAGTTACGTTTCTCTATTAAGATTTTCCAGAGATAATGCTTTTATTTCACATTAAAACAATATAGATGCCACAGCATTCCTCAAAGAATGCAGCTCCTGTTCGCTGGCTAGCCCAAGTTATCATGGAAATTATTAGTTTCCTTAAGCATTTATTGTACTCATCCAGAAATACAAGCTTGCCCTGTTTCAATCTGAAACACTATGCACGGAAAGGAGAAAATTCCACACAGTACCACAAACATAATTCTTGTAAGAAGGTGGTATGTTAATTAATAAAGTCTGAGAGCCACTGGTTTAACATATTAATGAATTTATAATGCAGAGAGAGATGAAAAGATATATTTCCTTATTAGATTATTTAATGTCTGAACCTTTATTGTAGTTATGTTCTATTTTGTATCTTTCTTACAAACATTCTAATAGTGTTTCTAATAGTATAACTTTGCTAGATAATTAGTTCTGCAAAGAGAGAGAGAAATAGGGGGATATAGGCCAGATTAACATGGTCAGAACTTGAAACAGGCAGTACAGCTGTGGAGGTAGACCCTGGAAGAGAGATCATTTTATAACTGAGGACCTGTAGAGATTGGGCTTTGCTTAGGAACAACAGCAGTGACACAGTGGGCCAAAAGAGCCAGGTGAAAGAACTTGTGTTTTTTACCAATGGCTTTTGAACATGAAGACCCTGCTGAACTGGACTGGTAGGTGTCTGAATGAGACGTAGCAGTGAGCTCTATTGGCTGCATGTCTTCACTAATGCAAAGAGGAGAGAAGATGCCTGTTTTGTAGGCTGCTGTGAAAATTGTGGAGAAAATCTGTCTTGGGCTGATCTAGACCTTTAAGTGGGTTGAAGACCATTTTTGAAATGCCTCCAGAGGATGCATACAGAAATGTCATCTTGGACCTGCAAACCTCTGAGCTACTGCCAACCCAGATGAGTGCTGCTCTAGGACTGGTGGAACCAGAGCTATCTCATCCCTCAAAGGAGAGATGGCATTTCATAGAGATGAGCACATTAGGAGGAATTTGCCCACTGTGATATGGCCTCTGATAGCCCTAAGCAGCAGGGCTGGTTGAACCACCCCTTGAGCAGAAGCCAGCCTGTGGGTTGCAGATTGGACCACAGAGAAGTTGTTAGTCAAAGCAAGTGAGATAAAGGGAAGGTGGGATTGCAGTGCCTTTGGCAAATAGTGCCCTAACTGGTATGGGACAGCTTTCTTATGTGGCTGTGCCCAGGGCCAGGCTGACAGTGCTTCCAACAAGTCATAGAAAAAATGGGGTTCCTGGAGCTGCATGGATGACTTAAGCACTCACCTTACATTAAAACTGACTGCTGGGCATTTTTTGGTGGGTCCACCAGCACTGTTCACTCTGTGAACCATAAGTGATTTTAAATGAGAGGTACTGGCAGAAGTCTGAATGAGAACACAAATTTATGTGTTGGGAAATTGTCCTGCTGTACCTTCTGCACAGTCTCAGGGCGTGGAGTAGAGAGATGTTAATGGTTAAAGTTTTCTTCACCTCAGAAAACCTGCAGAGGAGGAAAAAAAAAGGATAGTGCTTCATTACAGCTTATGTTTTTGCATCACTGTAGAAGTTAAAAACTCTAGTTTCATGTCAAGATGAGACAAAGAATGAAAGTCAGTAATTTCCAGTGGGTTTCCCATGAGTCAGGAGGGCCTGGGGCTCTGACCTGGTCCAATGTACAGCTGGGGCAGAAGCCTACATTGGGGCAGTAATCACACTGAGACTGGGCTGTGGGCATTTGACAAGAGTTTCAAGAGCTGAAACTCTGTGACTGCACATAGGCTGCACATAGGGAATTCACTTCCAAAACTTCTCTAGTTATTTTTCAGCTGATTTAGGGACTGCCTGAAGCCACCTTGTGGCTTTCCTCTAAGTTTCATGCAAAAGGCTGAGAAAAACAGACTTATTCTTACCTATACTGTTTTTTTTTCACTGCCCTACCTACAGAAGTAATGTACTCCATACTTTATAACCCACTTAGCTTCTCTACATCTGTTTTAGCTGCTGTAAAGAGAATGCAGAAGCCAGAATATAGCCCAGAATAATTATACTTTATTCTGACACAGGTACAAAAGTTTTGGGATAAGAATATAATTTTTTTTTTTACAGATTCTTTCTGGGTGCATCAGGAAAAATCAAGGGCCAGATCCTGCCCTAAGTCCCTGCAAGTGTATACTGGTGTAACTTCTTAAAATAAAAAAAAATACTCTGCAATTACACAGTGTCAGATTAAAAGTTATGAAATCAAAACCAAACCCCATGAAATCTAGTTTTGCAGTGTTCACAGCAAGTTGTAAAATCTTCTGTGGTTGGGGAGAAATTTATCTACGGAGAAAGAAAGAAAAGACATTTCCTGAACCTAGCATCTGTTGGCATCTACGGAGCAGTTTGATGCATTAGAGGTGGGCCCTTGGGAGAAGGAGTAACAGTGTGCTTCTATTTTTGCATGAAATCAGGCTCGGCAGAGGGCATGATGATGCATGAGTATCAGTGTGTATCTGCTTTCTCACTGTCATTTCCTCAGTTAGGAGAGAGGCAGAGGATGGCAGTAACCAAAGGGATGCAAACAGCCCTCCTCATTACCTACTAGGGCAGTGGGGATCTTTCTTCATGCACTCTCTACAGACAGACAGCTGTCAGCCAGTGGTGTAACTCATGCTGCCACTGCTCTTTGCAGGGACACAACTCTGTTGGAGCTGCTTGGCTCCATTTGGCATTTTTCTTTATAGCTGAACATCGCACGACAATGCAGCTGATTCACTGCACCAGCCTGGTGTAAGGACTGAAGTTTTGCCCTCACAGGGATGAAGTGGGAGTACAGGAGTGTGAACCCAGCTTTGCTCCCAGCCCGACTTTTGGGACTTGAAAGAGGGGGTTGTGCTGTTTTAAATATTCACACATACACCCTTAGGTTCAACACTGAAGCTTTCAAGTATTTTAGGTCAGAGCTGGTGTAACCAGCCTGAATCAATGCTGCATCGTGCTGAAATCTTAACAATTTTTTCCACTAAATGTGCTTGAATCTAGTCATTTTCCTGATGGCTCATCTCCAAGAAAATGGTGTCGATCATTTGGTAGGTTTCAGGGTTGGATGTGAGTCAGCTCTGAGTCAGGCAGCAGCTTTAGCTTCGTGAAGTGCTGGTCCTCCTGTGCTGGCACAACCTGTGGGGCTGCAGCTCTGCGACAGACGCTGCTCCTGAGCCTCCCCAAGAGCAGCATGTGGGAACTTCCACACGGGGCACTCGCAAGGCAAAGGGGCAATTCCACAGCCCCACCTTTTTGGCTGTTCACCTGCTCTGCACTGTCGATCTCTGAAGATGGCAGGGTGTGTAAAAAATGCTGGCAGCAGGCAGGGAGAAGGAGATGGGGACCTATCTTGCTCCCTGCAGAGGTGCCCATCTCACCAGGGCGTGGGCACAGCGTGTCACTGCTACACAAACAAATTCCCTCCCCAGAGCCAGAAAGAAGCAAGGAAAGACCTTTGTCCAGAGCCCTCTGTCCCTGGCAGGGTGTTTCTGTTTATATTGACATTTTTATTAAATAGGGTGGTGTCCCAGTTCTCAGGGAGTCGAGAGAAAAGCCAGACACAGCCTTGATGGCAAGCAGCCACTGTGTGTGTTGTGCAAAGCAGCGTGACTGACAGGTTCCTCGCTCTCTCTTTGTCTTTCTCTCCCCTTGCACGGTGTGATTGAAGCAACGCCCCGTGAAACAGTCCCTGAGCGCTTGCATGTGCCGAGAGTCCCACTGGAAATGCCTCCTTCTCTCCATCCTCATGTATGGCTGCCTGGGTGCAGTGGCCTGGTGTCAGCTGGCCAGAGTCACCAAGCTCAGCTTCGATAGCTCCTTCAAGGGCAAGTCTATGATCTACCATGACAGCCCGTGCTCAGACGGCTATGTTTATATCCCGCTGGCCTTCCTCTCCATGCTGTACGTGGTGTACCTGGTGGAGTGTTGGCACTGCCACGCCAAGAGGGAGCTGCAGTACAAGGCAGACGTGGACAGTGTGTATGAGTGCATCAACCGCATGCAGCAAGCCACTCCATGCATCTGGTGGAAGGCCATCAGCTACCACTTCGTACGGAGAACCCGGCAGGTGACCCGGTACCGCAATGGTGATGCCTACACCACCACACAGGTCTACCATGAGAGGGTCAACACACACGTGGCTGAAGCCGAGTTTGACTACTCTCACTGTGGCTACAAGGACATCTCCAAGGAGCTCCTGGGCTTGGAGAGCTATACAGCCACCAAGCTGAGGTTCACCAAGTGCTTCAGCTTTGCCAACATTGAGTCTGAGAACTCTTACCTGACTCAGAGAGCTCATTTCTTCACAGAGATTGAGGGGCTAGATGATTACATGGAGGTGAGGGAAGGCATGCAGCTCAAAAATGTGGATTTTAAAGAGCTTATGATGGCCTACGGAGACCCGGATCACCTCCCGTGGTACGTGTCCCATTATGCTTTCTGGGTGGCAGCTATCCTGATGATCTCGTGGCCGCTCAGGGTACTCATAGAGTATCGGACTGCTTACGTCCATTACCACGTGGAGAAGCTGCTGGGCCTGGAGTACACGGCGCCCACGACGGCGGAGGAGCCCTTGTACCGGTACCGCATGCCCCGGGACACCACGCAGGACAGCACCGAGCTGGAGTGGCACATCTGCACCAACCGGCAGCTGATCCCCAGCTACTCGGAGGCCATGCTCATGGACCTGGCCAACTCCCCGGCCTACAACAGCTACACGGTGTGTCGCTACGGAGAAACGGCCCACGGCTGTGAACGCTGCAACCGTGCCTCCAGCACCTCCTCCATCTTCTCCCGCCACGCTTTCCACAGCTGCAGCGGCAACTCCCGCCTCTCCCTCAACACCAGCCGCTTCTCCCTCTGCCGCATCCATGGCTCCCACAGGACAGGCCTCTGGCGGAGCCGCAGCAGCAGCATTGCAGATCGGGGCTGCCAGGATGAACAGTGCTGCTCCTACTCCAGCCAGCTGGCTGTCAACGAGAACCCCCCAACCTACCATGATGCCCGATTCTTCCCTGTCCTGATCGTGCACAGGCCGGAGGGGCAGGACAGGCGGCATTTCTACATCAGGCGTTCCTCCTGCCTGGAAACCTCTCTGTGACATGACTCGGCTCCTCTGCTCTGGGACAGGGATTGCAGAGGTGACACCAGTGGGGAGCCTGCAAGTGTCAGTCTCTACAGCAGGTCAGCAGGACGAGTTTCAGCTCTTCCCCCTGCCATTGCAAGAGGACGTAGAGACTCTGACCAACACCTAATCTCATTTCCAAGATTTTCTCCCCCTCTGCTTGGTCTCCCATATCTTTCATTCCCCATTCCTCTCACTCTTTCACTCCTCACCCTTCCTCTGCTCCTTGATTCCTTGCCTCTCCTCCAATCCCACCCCCATTCTTTTTTTTTTTTTTGCATTTTAGTCACAGCATTTGGTTGTTGTGGCTGCTGGAGGATTTTAAATGCTTGTGCTTTGCCAGTACATTTTCCCTCCTGGATGCTTTGCGAGGTAAGAACCTCAGATAGAGCAAGGCACAAGGCACACAGCCAGCCAGAGTCAAGTCAGAAGGAGAATTCAGATGGGCAGGCGCTGAGTCACCTCCTGCAAACCCCAAACGAGGTGCTTTTTTTTAAATTTTATTTTCCCCAATCTTTTTTTCCTCTTCTTCTGTCATTCCTTCTCTCCTTTGTTCATGTTCTTGTCCTCTTACTTTACCCTCATCTTCCCTTTTTTTTTTCAGTTCTCTCACTTCTGCTTTACAGTTTTTCTGGGATTTTGCCAGTGAGGATATCTTTCAGGGCGTAATTATCTTCCATTGGGCAAAAGTAAGGTTTTCATAGCACAAATGTCACTGACTGCTCACACAGCCACAAAATGAAGCCCCTGAGAAATGCTGAGGAGTTTCTTTCAGGAGCAGTGATGTACACTGATATAGCAAAATGCCCTTTACTCACACTGCCCTGCCTGGTCTGCAGCAGAGATGCTGCTGCATTTCCAGCTGTAGTTTACCTTTGTTCAGCTCCCCCCCTGATAGCAATCATTGAGAGCCATAATGTAAATTAGTGCCCTGTTAATGCCACTATTTTTAGGACAGTAGGCCTGGTTTGTGGTTGTTTCATTCCTTCAACTTGAGTGCAGCAGCACAGGCTTGACAAGGGGAGAGGGGCTGGAGAGGGAAAGGTAAATATAGTATTAACCCTCCCACAGAGAGTCTGGAGCTGTTAGGAAGCTCTTCCACCCACAGTGTCTATTACAGCAGTTGTAGGACTGCCTACATTACCTTTCAGCTTTCTGTGTGCCCTGAGGAGGGCTTTTGGTCTGTAGCCCACTTCACATTCCCAGGTGAGATGTGGTGCAACCCCAGCCCCAGGCAGAGAGCACAGCTGGGAGCTAGCCCCACTGGCCACTCCTGCTGGGCTCCAGGCTCTTCCTGCAAGGCTCCCTCTGGAGCAGGTGTAGCACCTTCCAGAATTAGTGCCAGCCTCTCCAAATCTGGAAGGTGTCTGGTCCTGACAGAGTGTGCCACGGCACTCTGAGCTGTGGATTCTTCCCTTCTGGCCTGGCCCCCTCCAGGAGCCAGGGGCCAAAAACCTTGTGGCCACACTGAGAACCACCAGGGACCTCACACCTGCCAAACCTCTGTCCCGCAAGGGATGGTTGTATGCTGAGCAAGCTCCATACCATTTTGCCACATGGCTGGTGGAGATTATTATCCACTCTGACTCACAGGAGGATGCAATACAATCGCAATACATACGGTCACTTTCAAAACCAGTGTTGTCTCATGCTACCTTACAAGTAGGTAAGAAACTGAGCCCCCAGAGGGGCTGGCAACAAGTGCTTCTTCCCAAGTCCATTTTGTGTGTATCAACATGTAATATGAAATTTGTAAAGTCATACTGATATGTGTAGATTATATGTAACTCTGCATACTTATATGGTGACTTCTTACGGCATTGACTGTTGCACCATGTTAAATACATTTTGGTCTTGTTTGATGACTCCGTTTTGATGTGCTGTGTTTATTTCAACTCCAGAAATGGAAACATTGGCAATACCTGGTTAACCTGCTGCAAATGATGGCACCATCAGAAAGGTTTTAAAAATTCTTATGAGTTGATCTTTTTAATGTAAATGCTTCATGTGTGATTTATGTGACATTTTCATTTTGACAGCTTGGCATTTATCACAAAAGACAGATAACACATATGATGTGTTAGTTTATCACCTCTAAAAAAAAAATAACCATCCCAGACGTGTGGAGGAACAATGTTTGGGCTTGGGGTGATGATTATGATTGAGCTGGGGCCAAACTGGATAACCTTGAAACTTAGAGAAAAATCCAAATTTAGATCCACCAATGTGACCCAATCCTAGTTTCCCTCATCTACACCATGCCACCTGCCACACCCAAGCAGAGTTTGGGAGAGTTTGGGAACTAGGAAAGGATCAGGCCTGAAATCAAAGCTCAGACTCATACCTGATATCCTTGTATTCTGAATTCAAAGTAAATGCAAGTCTTTAATTGAGTTCCTGTCCTTCTCTGTATTCACACAAAAAGTTAAAACCAGCACGTATAAAAGATAAGAGCTGGTCAAGGCTGAAACAGAGAGGCTGGATTATTTCAACACAGTTCCTTACTGAAGAAGGTAGTTGAGAGGAAGACAAGAAAGGAGAAGGGAAGAGATGGTAGAATAATATAAATTAAAAGAGAACAGAGTTCAGCTGTAGCTAAGAGAATTCCCAAATGAGCAGCATAACTCAGTTATGGTAAGCTTAGCCCAGATACAGGCAGGATGAGTTTCAGCCTTCTTGTGAGTTGCTGTTACTGCTGCAGCCACACATGGCTTTAAATACCATACCGAAGGTCTTGGGATGGCCAGTTTTGTCCCATGTGTATGCCAAGATGGAGAGTTATATTTGGGTCCTTAGAAGTGGTCACGTTAAATAGTATTATTATCTGACATGAGCAACCCATTATGATGGGTTAGGCAGAGAATGGGGACAGTTTATTCTCAGTTTAGTCCTTTTCAGTGACCTGAAAAGCCACTCCATTATCCAGTAGCTCTCAAGTTGCGTCCTTGGCAAATTTTGGAAAGTCCTCAGGGTTTGTTTCCTCAGTCACTGTATTCTGGGCCAACTTTGGGGCATTAATCTGAGAAGCCATCCCTAAGCTGCAAAAAACCTCACACACATGGAGCTTCCTCCTGTCACTTGCTGTAGCCTTTGGTGGTGACCAAAAAGCTGGGAGCAGCTCCTGTTCTAGTCTGAGACTAAATATGCTGGCTTCAACAGATCTCCCATTCAGGAAACACCTGAATAGCCATCCTGGGTCTCCTACACTGTAGAGTAGAGCTACTCCTGTACTCCTGCAACCTTTGAATGCCATTTCATTCTTGTTCTTGCCATTGCCACCAATTTCCGATGCAGGATGAGGGATCTGCCCCCTAGCAATGGAGGGGTTAATGCTGCTTTCCAAATCCCAGCTTGGAGGATGAAGCGGACAAATTCTTGAATCCCAGTGCAAACCCTGCAGCTCTATAGAAAACACCTTGTACAAAACACAAGGATTTTCTATCTAGTTGCAGACTGACTACTGTGACAATGGAGCAGTGGTATGTGTCAGTAGCTTTTGTTGAACTTTTCAGGCTATGGCTTCTCATATGGAAATGGGAGGGCTTGCTTTCTCACTGAGATAACGTGTTCCAGATGTCCTGTTGGGTCTTAGTAGTTAGAAGAGGCTGAACAGTAGAAAAAGGTGAGGAAGTTCCAGCAAATACTTCTCTTTCTTCTGCCTTCTCATTTTCCCCTCCCTCTCTTTTATCCTTTCTTCTCTTTTTCTTAATCTTCAGAAGTCTCCCAGCACTGGCCATTCACCTCTGGATTATTGTATAATAATAATAGGTATTCAGGCATTTTCTGGAATATACCCACACTTCCCAGCATGTCTGGTGAGATGTGGCAAAACGCTATTGCAGCAGAAGTAAGGAAAGAATGTAATCCAGAGAGCAAACAGCTGTGTCCTGTGTGTGTGATCAGTGAGCACTGTCACTGATGTTACAGCTTGAAGAATAAAGCCATGGTGCCATTTCAGTGCCACAAGAGGCCAAGAGTTTATTTATCTCCAGTTCCTTAAAACATTTAAGATTCACCAGTTCCTTTGCTTTCTGCATGGTGATACTGCACTCCTCTGTAAGTTTTCCCACTGCAGTTTGCACTTCAACTGGCAGTGTGTGCAGAATTTCAGTCCAATTTTCATATGGCTCTTCCTGCCTATCACTGTTAGCACAAAGCCCTTCTCAGAACAGCTGAAGTCAGATCCCTTGATGGGGAAAATCCCCCTTGGTCTACTGCTTCCAGCAAAGCTTTGCTCTCTTACACCAACCCTGAACCTGGCGTGTGCCATGCTACAACTGGAGCACTTCCTGAGCCCATGGGACCAGTGTAGTGTAAGCCTCTGTAATTGTAGGGCTGGAAGAAATCCTTAGAAGGAAAGCACCATAGAAACATGTCATTATTCTAATGGCCATTATTTTTTTCTCATGAGATGACTAAGATCTGCAAAAGTAGCTACCTTCTGGAGGATGCTATTGCCCTAAGTGCAGAAACACACCGTGTAGCTGGATGGACACCTGGGGAGAGGCAGCAGTGACAGAAAATGTGCATGAAGCTTTTAGCAAGCACCAGCACAGAACCTCTCAGCCCAAGAGCTGCAGTGATCCTGGCGATTTCCTGTCCCCAAGTGCAACTAGACTTCCCACGAGCACTCGAGCACTGGAATGGAGCTACCTCATTGCAGCAGGAGGCACTGGGGAGGGAGTGACATTTCCATTCCAGTAATGAAATCTTCTTGGCATTGCTCCAGTCCCCTAGGAATTCCTATCAGAAATGCAAATGACTTGGGGGGGGGGGGGGGGGTGAAGATTAGAGTTTGGAATTTAATTATATGAGCTTGTTGTGCCTCAGTTTCTCCTTCCCCCTCCTGGGGATAATGCAGTTTCCCTGCACTCCTCCATTTAGCCAGGTTTCCAGAGTGTTGCAGGAGCTGCTGGGCAAGTGCTGCACGCTGATGGCTGTGGCAGAGCTAAGAGCTGCATCGTGTTGTAATGATATTGCTCCTTATGTCACCTTTCAACCCAGATTCTCACCGTAACTCCTACGAAAAGGCAGTGCCAGATTTTTTTAAACAACTGTTCGTAAGTGACTTTATCCACGACGTTCTACTAACGCTGTGGCAGCAGAAATGTCCCTCCTAAACTCTCTCCCTACTTTTCCGCTAGCGGAAAAATGGTCAAGGCCGAGCCGATCCTGCTTGAAGGGCACGGGCGGATCTCCTCACCTTGCCGATGCTCCTTCACAGCTCAGCCGCCGGGATGGGGTGACCGACATCCCCCGAGCAGGAGGCCGAACGGTGAGGAGAGTGCGGCCGGAGCAAGGAGCTGGAGAGGGCCGGCCGAGGGAGATGGGGCTGGGGATGCTGCGTGCATGAGGCGGGGTTCTGCTCATCCCGGCAGAGCCTCGGCTTGGGGGGCTGAGTCCCGGTGGCGGCCCCAAGTCCGCCTCCCTTGGGGGGTTGGACGGTGCGCTGGGGCTCCAGAGGGGCCACATGTAAGTAGGGGGATGACCGGTGCCCCGGCAGCTCCCGCGGATGTGGGTCACCCGTTCCCGGCGCTCTGGAAACCAGGCCGCTCGGCGGAGCAGCCCTCGGGGGGCGCCGCCTCCACACACCTCCTCGACCGCTGCCGCTGCCGCCCCAACCCCGCCCCTCCCGCCCCGTCCCGCCCTCCCGGGGGCTCGGAGCCCCGGTCCCGTCCCGGGGCGGCGGAGCGGGGGCGGCGGGCGCCGTGATTCGCCGCTTCGGGGGCGGTGGGCGCCCGGCTCATGCATATTCATGATGTGATGTCAGAGGGGGAGCACAGCGCGCGGTGACCGCCCGAGAGCGCCATTTCCTGAAGGAGGCGGCGGCGGCTGGGCAGGGACGGACGGACGGACGGACGGACGGAGCGACCCCGCAGAGTGGCGCCGCGGCGGCCAAGCCGGCAGGGGGAGATCGCCCAGCGGCGGCGACCGGACCGGAGCGGACCCGACCCGACCCCACCGACCCGCGCCGTCGCCCCGCAGCAGGTTCTCCTGAGGCTCGCCCCGGCCGGAGCCAGAAGTTTGAGCGTCCCCGTAGCCTCCCGGGCGAGCCCGGTATCGGGCGGCGACGCGGGGCTGCCCCAGCCGCTGTCGCCGCCGCCTGCACGGGCGGTGGGAGCCCCCCGCGGCGCCGGGAGCAGGGGGGAGGATGGTGGTGCGGGAGAGATGGAGCTGAAGCGGAGCATGGCGATCCCGCGGCTCCTCGTGCTGGGACTCTGGGCTGCGGCACTCCGGGACGTCGCTGCCGTGGCAGGTGAGCGGGGCTGACAGCCCGGTGGCGGCGGGGCACTGTCCCCCGAGACCCCGGGTGCGGCGGGAGGGGCTGCGGGGCTCGGCTGCCGCCGGGCCGGGTCTCCCCGCGGGCAGCTCCCGCTCCGCCACCTCTACGAGTGCCGGCAGCCCGCTGAGGGTCGCCGGGCAGGCGCGGCCCGGGGGCGCCCGGTCCGCCCGGTGCGGCGGCCGCGGGGCCTCGGGCAGCCACAGGTGGGGTCGGGCCGGCGCGTTTTGCCCCTCCCGGCCGGGCACGGGCGTCTCCGCCGCGTTCGTGGGGCCGGCGACGTGGCGCTCTGGAGCCGGCGGGGAAACCGAGCTGTGCGAGCCTCGCCTGCCTGCGAGTAGAGTAGCGAGTAATCCTCCCCGGGGTTCGCGGAGGCATTGCGCTGGTATGTGCCTAGCGCGGGCCGTCGCCGAGGAAAGCTGGGCGCTAACGCATTCCTGAGTGGCTTTTGTTGGGTTTTTTTCCCTCATGAACTCATTTTCCGAAGTTTCACCCTCCGGTCGGCAGGGAAAGGCAGCGTGCTGGAGTGTCTCGGCGCCCCGGCCAGCCTCCTCCCGACTTCAGCGGGAGTTTGGGCTCCGCGCTGTA